TTTTAATGGAGTGTTGCTGTTTTGTCGTTGTGGTGGTATAGTTTTGTGGGCGGCCCTGCTGTGTCGGGTCCCCCTCCACCATTTATACACAATTCAATCAATTAGTGCTGGAATTGCATTGATATGATTTGCTATGAGTGGCATAATTGCTAACAGTATTAGTTCTGGTAAAACACGTGTTAAGCATTGATTACAAGGATGTCATGCAAGTTTGACAAATTTGACAACCAGGCATTTGTCTATTTCTGTCTATTTTATCTATTTTTCACAATATTTTTTTAAACACTACAAATCACAATATATGCACAGTATATTGTGATCTCCATTGCTTCACATTGTGTCAAACAAACAACCCTCACCAACTGTGGTAGTGTCAGTGAGAGAGAGAGAGAGAAAGACAGAGAGCAAGGAAGGGCATGAGGGAGTCAATGCGCTGTGCACAAGTCCCCAATGATTTTACCAATTTGAAATAGTAAAAAAAAAATAGATAATCGATATTTGGCAGTCAGTGTTTATATTGTGGCAGGCTGCCACAATAAATCAATGTATGGGAAACATTGTACACTGAATGACCAGAATGACCATGGTTTGTCACTCTGAATGATGTTCTGTCAAAAAGGGACAGAGTGTATTGGCATTGTCATTGTTTCTATTTATTATAATGCTTTTAGTGTTAGTCTAGTTTAATAACATTTATGTTTTGTCTGTGCCTTGCAAATATATTTTTTTTTGAGGGAAACTAGAAAAATCAATAACACAAATAAAAAAGATATACAATGCATTAAAATGATAACATTCAGTTTTAAACACATTTGTGAGCACTAAACATCCCTCATTTATCTGAAATATAAATAAGATGGTAAAATCGTTTATCTAAATAGTGATACTGTCATTAAGTTTAAAGGATGACACTGTGTTGTAATAGAAAAGTTGCATTACATCAATTGACAAAAAATGTACACTTAATGACAAAACTCCTACTTCAACAGGTAGTGCAATCTGTCTCAAAATAATATGTCTATAATATACTATCTACACACTCAGGACCATGAGGATTTTTGATCCCTCTTTTCCACCAGATGAAGCCATATTTGGCTTATGGAGCAAATACACATTATTTTCCTTGTATCCCCTAGAGGCGTTGCTGCTGTGTAATGGAGCACTGTAGGCCATTGGAATAAATGTATGAAACTAAAACTCAGTGGGTGTGGTGGTGTGGATATCAGAGGGTGAATATTTAGAAATAAGAGTGTGTTTTTGAGTGCATATATGTGTACATTTAGAGAGACAGAAATGACAGTGGGGTCCAAAAGTCTGTAACCAAAGTGGTCAGGTCTGTATCACTGTACATATGTTGTACTGCAATTCACATCCCCCCCGCTCTCTCACACACATGCATGCACGTGCACCTGCATGTGTAGGCCTTCAAACTCAATAGAATACAATACCTCACGGGTGCAGTACCTTTCTGTATATGAGTTACAGTAGGCTATTGATTTTTGAAGGTGTATGTGTGGTGGGGGTGTGTGCATCTTTGTATGGCGTACTTGTGTGCCGGTGTATGTGTTTACATGTCCATTGTCATGGCATTGTTTTTCATGATAATCCAGACCAAAAATTCCCCCACAGCATTTTGTATATGGAAAATATTACATAAAAAACAGTGGTATTATGTAAACAAACTGGTATTTAAAGAGTTAAACTTCTGAATATGCTGTAGTTATGATCATGACTGATGTTGGTTAAAAAAATGAATTCAGTGAAAGAAAAAAATAATATTGATATATCATATATTTATGGCAGTTTTTTGACAGACTTTTTTTGTTCTCTAAGGACCTTTTTAAAGGATGCATAAAGCTTAATATTACAACTCTGCACCCATAATCTGGTTGGGCTTAAGAAGGTCGACTAGCTGCTGTGAACATAGCAAACTATGGCCATGGTAATAGGTGTACTGGATATTGCATTCAAGATGGTTGTCACAACAGCTATAGGTAGACAGACAGAGAGGACTGACTACACACTCATTAGAGGCAAAACCAAGCACATCATTCACATGTCTAGGAGAAGGAAACAAACACACACAAGGAGAGAGATACAAGGACAATATGAACACAAGAGACAGAGAAAGAGGAGGCTGGGACTCTTGGAGGATGAAGATCCAGATCCAAAACATCTGGACTGACGCAAATGAAAGAGATGTCCCAGGACCACCAGTGGTCCAGCACAGGGAACCTGAGTGAAAAGCAAGGACAGAGAGGAACATTAGGCAAGGTAGCGTTAGCTATGGGTAACTAGAGGATTAGCTGGAAGGCTAGGTTAGCAGCTAAGCTAACAGGGCAGCAACAGGCTACCTGTTAACACAAAGAATATTTCAAAATAGAAAGTATGAAGTCTGAAATTATATGAGCAGTAACATTTTAAGAGTAGAGATTGGGAAAAATGATGGGATTAAACAGAAATGAGGAGGAGAATGAGCAGACAGCAGCTGGCGTTCTCATGGAAAATCACAATGTACGTCACAGGAAGACATTCTCTAACTGATCAGTTTTAGCTTATATTATAAAGTATAATGCCAAATCCATTTCTGATCCTTTCTGTATTGTGAACCATTATGTTCTGGCCCTTGTGCTCAGTGTTCACTGTCCTACCACCTACCTGTCTGATGAACATATTAAAACTGAAAAAAGTGAGTCGTGCTCATTTGTTGAAACTGTTTCAGTGCCAATACCTAAATGAGCTGTGTTGGAAGAAAACAAATCTGGCTGATGTTTCAGTTCTCTAATCACAATAAGTCAAAGTAAAATACCAGCTGTGCCAAGCCAAGCTGTTTTGCCATGTTCTTCACTTAGTAAAATTGGTGGTGGAAAAAAATTACTTTTTAGTCCCCTTAAATCTACACATTTACTGTGCATTCCTAACAAACTACAATGCATCAGCGTTTCCTTTTGAGCTTTTATCTTGCAGAAGGAAGAGGGTTAGGGGATAAGTTGTTTACATTAGCCAATGTTAAAAATATTTCAGTGGGTGTAATTTATGTATATATATTTGTGTTGAAAGCCTTCCCCTTGGATGCTGCTGTATATAAGAATATACTACTGTTCATTCCCTACTTAAAGGGTAACTGTTAAAGGCAGAGATTAAAAACCCAGATATTTCATATGCCTGCTATGTATCCTCTAGCAAACCCTCAGCAACCTTCACTTCGTTTCTCTGGCCACACCCAACTAGTCCTCTTCCCTTTGTGGTAACATTATCTCTCCCTTTGCTCTGCAGCCTGAACAGCCTCACCAATACTGTAGAGAGAGGCAAAAGATACAGGAGGAAGGGAAAGACAGAGGCATCCAGGGAAAGGATTACTAAAGGGAAAGAGGCACAGGAGGAATCAAGGTCAGAGAAAGTAGGGAAGGAAGTAGTGAGGAAGGAGGAGATTGGAAACAAAAACGTAATGGTCAGTAATTTCCAGTGCACATCACACTGTTATGCAATCCAGCTTCTGAGTCTGCAGCCATAATTACCAAAGAGTTGAATCACAGTCTCACCAAAAACTTTATTGGCTTTACTAAGGGAGTGTTGATTGCAGCATGTTTGCATTACTTTACATTACTGAGGTGTTGCTTTTATGATGGCCACCCACTGGGAATATTAGCAGTGAACATGCTCTAATGGTGTGTTGTTGTCTCCCACCGCCTTCAGACTGAAGAGATGAATCACTGTTCAGACTTCTGAATGAGCGTCAGTCACATGGTAAGACCATTCTGTCCCCATGTACTGCTGGCTCATGCATTGAGCTTTTTTATTATTAATTGGCATTATTTAGAGATTATTTTACATGTGGTGGTGACCTAACAATGTTGGTAGAGGGAAAAGATTGGTAGTTACATTAGCAGGTTGGTGCTGCCTAGTAATGCATTGAAATCTGCTTTAAAGGTGCCCTGTGTAGTAGTGTCGTCAACAAATACAGTCTCATGAAAACCTCTGTGTGTGTCACTGAGGCCTAAAAGACATAATTTCCCTCCTTATAAAGCATTTCCAAAGTTTAAGAGTTTATAATTGGATTACATTGTTAGCAGTTGTTTGCTAGCTAGCAGCCTTGTTGTGTGTATAGTTTGCAGGAGGATTGCTGTTTATTGACAAGTTACCACAACTAACCATCAATAAATAGAACAGTGTCAACAGGAATGTGTGTTGTGTTGTGCGCATATGCACATTAAAGCCACAACTTTGCAGACCATTTTTGATTAATGTGCCAATTTCCTCATTCATTTAATTGTCTGGCCATTCACAATTTCCTAACCAACAACAAGAAAGCTTGCCGTGTGTGGCCAACAGTCCAAAATTTAAATATATTCATAACATAAGACCAAGAATTGCAGCAATTGCTCAAACTCAGAGGCTTTGATTCGAGACTGTTTGACATTTGGTTAAAAAGGTGACCTTAACGTATAATTGATTATTAAAGTAGTTGTCCATTAATTTTCTGTTGACTGACTAATCGACATGAGCATCTTCATGCATGTGCTAGCAGAGCACAAGAAACAATTGAAACAGGGACCACTAGAGGTTAAAAACTCTAAAGGCAACCTTTAATATAACCAAAAGACATTGTCTTTGACTGTCTGTCTGATATTTTGTGCAGTTATTTCTTCAAATTAATATGGACAAAGCTTTTTCCAAGTACTAAAAAATGCAAAGTCCACAGTTGCAAGTTCTGTGCATTGATAAATAATTCAAATTGTTTGCTATAATGAATTAATCTTCCAGTTCCCTATGGAGTTCTGTTAGAAATGTTTCATTTGTTTAATGATCTCTTTACAGGTCTTAAATGGACACTTAGTTAGAAACTGCGTGAAACTTTTGTTGTGTTTGGTTAAAATTCAATTTTTTTTAACTACATGAAATTTTAGGTGCAAAGGATTTCCAAAGTGTTTTCCAACATGTTTTGTCTCATGTAATCTAATTCAAAGTCGTCTAACTGAAGCCATCTCTTTTTGTTGCAGCTTCTGAGCCCATGGTACAAGGTCCTGACTGAACTTACTGGTGGTGCATACATACTTACTACTGTGGTGAGTGATCTACAGCCAGACCAGGCTGTGAAATGTTTCTACCTGCCTCTTAACATCATAGGCAATACTGAGTTTGTTTTCTGAGCTTGAACTTGAAAATATGAAATATTGATAACTCTCAAAAGACAAGGCAACCTGGATTTTTTTAGTTAGTCCTTTCACAATAATGGTTTCTGAATAAGTTATTCGTTTGTTACTGATGCTGTTTCTTTGCATGATGTTGGCCACGTTGTTCAGAAATATTTTTTATTTTTACTTCCTTTTATAAAATCTACTGGGCAGTTGCTACCTCACAAATGAAAGGTTTTTACATTGGTGTCACATTTTCAGGAATGTCATATCTTCCAGAGTCAGAGGAATGTAGCAGACGTGACGTAATTTGACAGAAGTGTCATGAAGCAGGATTCAAACACAATGCATAGGGCTGGGTCACAAAAATACTGAACTGCATTAGACTGTAGCGGTGTTCAAGATCTTGTTTTGCCAAGATTAACAGAGAAAAGGAACACGTTGTTGGGAATTTTCGACCTGTCCAAAACAGTGCAAAGCAGTGGATGAGTTGGTAAACTTGTTTTGCCGTCAGTTTGGTTTCTTTTCACACAGAAAAAAACATCATCATTAAAAGCTACATGACAATGTTCATGATTAGATGTGTCTGGGAAAGTAAACACATCATGAGGAAGAAGGCCCTATCTGCCCAAATATCAAGAAGGTAATTGGTTGCTACACCAGGTCTGACTTTGATTCATTCTCTGGTTAGATGTTAGCAACTGATGTAGGGCTGTGATGATTATTTTAAATATATCTAATTGATGAATATGTTGGGTTTTTTCTTGATTAATGAATTACCATGACCATGAGTCCAAACTCCAAAGATATCTGGTTTAATATCACAGACAACCATTGTTCATGGCTGAGTTGTTGGACTTGAGAGTTTTTGCTTAACAAGTCACTTAAATGTTTAAGTTGGCCAACTGTCAGACTAGTTCCCGATTAATTTTCTGTAGATTGACTAATTGATTCGTCGACTAATCTTTTTATCTCTGTACTGATGTTGCTCATGTCCATCCTGGTACATAGAATACACCTGGCTATGGGAGATGTCCGAGGTTGGTTCACCTTCCCATCACATATGAACTGCCTCAGAATTTGTCTGTGACCAGACTTCCCCTAAAGGGTCTCAATGTGGTTTTTTTGGTCCACACCTGAGTATGATCGCTGTGTTCATTTTTACTCAAATAAATTGCACCAAGGGGGCAAACAAACCAGAGTTCGATTGGACAGCTCTTAACAACATAGATTTGAAAATACCCCAAGTTGATGGACAGTCTCTGTAATAAACATGTAACTTTGTAAGTGCCACCGCTTCCCACATTCTGACCACATTTCCTATAAACTCTGTTGCCCTCTGTTTCCCTTCCCCTCCCCAGTGTCTTATTTTACTGAGGAGAGCAGTAAGTTTAATTTCATGCTTTTAACCATCTGTGATTGCCAGAACATTCGACAGCTTCAGTTTGTTTTCAATTGGAAGAACAGCGCACTCTTCCTGTTTTGTACCGTTTAAGAATCCAGCAGATTTCCTGTGAACTCCAGCACAACAATGTTAATGTTAAATGCAGGATAGGACCCGTAAAGGCTATCAGTCTCCTTGATGATGCTCATGTTTGTTTACATTGGGATACCCAATGACATTCTGCTTGCTGACTTGCTGACATTGTTCATTTGGTTCTCTGGTTGGACCAAGATGCCTTGCTGTGACAGCTACGCTACTGCTGTCACCCATTTTAGCAACTAGCTGTGTTAATGTCAGGTCAGCCTTATTGGAAGGCTTTGTTTTCCTCACTGTAGAGCCCTCAGCTCTGCTTGTTTATTTCATTCATGCTGAAATATTTCAGCGCTGCAGTACTTAGTCATCCAGCGTTTATGTGTTAAATAGCCTATGAGCATTCATGCATGTTCTAATTTTTACACCAGTCAGCACCAGAAACCTAGTCATTTTACATATAGCACAGGAAATAGTTTTGTTTTCTATTGTGATATTAATGTGTAATAGACAGCAAATTTAATTGGGGGAAATGAACAGTGCTATCAGAGGAGCATATTATATAAATCTCAGTGTTGTGTTGTGATTTTTATTGTGTTGGTTTTCTGCTGAGGATGGCATGTTGCACTGCTTGCTTTGGTGTTACTGACTTTGAATCATAGCTCCTTAGGTCGGGAGTTAAAGACAAACAACACGCCCAATTTGTTTGTGCCCCGCAGATACCTTTCACCACCACACTGCGTCCTTGTATGGCTTCACAAGTGTGAAATGTTTTTCATGACCTCAGGAGCGAGACAAAATGACACAAATGAAAAAATACCATTACAGAGGCTTGACTTTCCTGCTGCTAGTTTTCAGAGAAAGTTTGCCAATCTTACATAAATTGTGATGTGTCTTAAGAAAACGTGGCCTTAACTTTTAGGATGTGTTTTATACTTTTTATTGATGCATTTGTGTGGAAGAATGTGTTGCTCCCACAAGGCTGTTGCATGAGAAGAAAGAAGTCTTTGTTTTACAATGATTCAGGCCACAGTATTGATTCAGTGCAGCAGTTTGCCTTGAAATTAGTTTGTATGCTACGCCTCTTCCAGAATGTGCCCCCATTCTCAAAATACACCACAAGTATTTCAGACACTTCTCCACTAGTGTGTCTAGAGGAGAAGTTGCAAAGGGCTTGTCCCTGGTTAACCATGATGCTCAAAACCCTTTGAGTCCGAGAGACTGAAAGAGTCGGAGAGGAATGAAAAGAAAGAAAGTGAGATAGTTCAATACAGATCAGGCCTGGGTGATAGGAAATGGGATTAGGCTTGCCAGTGCTCCATTTTCATTTGTCCACATCTCTGGCAGAGATACAGAAATATACATCTTGCATTTAAACAATCTCTGGTTACCATTAAAATGTTTTTGTATGCTCTTGTTTGAATGCTGCCATATCCTTTTTGTTTTTTTTCCTCCGATATCAGTTAGACAGACAGTTGATATTGCAGAGACAGATCGTAAGAGCCAATTACATTTTAATTTCATCATCTGTGGGGAAAAAATAAAAATGTATCACCTTGGTGAGCAGGAAGTAGTTTAACTGTGTTTTTTTTTTTTTTTGGAGGTACAATGAGGGACAGTGAATTGTAATGATGACAACAGCTTGGAAAATTCGGCCTAAATTGAAAATGACTCAAGTTAATGAAAGTACTGATGCTTCAGTCGATCTGTGTGTGAATACCTCCAACCCAAGCTCTACCCTTGTGTACAAAGAGCTTGCACACTTGTTAGATTCTTCACAGCCACCTTGTTTTGTAAATTAACTCCTTTTACATGAATCATACATTTGGTGCACAGAGGGCAATTCTATGAGCAGTGTTAAGAATAGGCATATTTGTTCTGCTCTATGTTAAAGTAGCATGGTGCACTGGCAGGTCATTGGGTACATACACAGCTAGTGGAGTTTACCTTATATCTCATTCTAACCCAAGACTCCAGCCCTGCTCACACCTACCCCCAGCTGTCAATAAATTGGCTCATCCTGTTTGTCTGCTGCGTTGCCTCCGCTGTTTGTTACTGGAAATAGATGCTTGCCTGGTTCTTAGGTAAGGGTATGTGGATTAACAGCTTACTACAATAAAACCTTTCAAAACAACAGAAAACCAAGGCTTTAATCCAGGATTTCATAAAAGTGTAGAGCCTGTACAAACTGCACGGAATCAATTCATTAACATCTGGTTGGGTGTCATGAGACGTTGCACTTAAAGCCAAATCAAAAATGACCAAACATATGAAAGCCAAATCTAACATCACACTGATGCTGTGGTGATTTGCATCTATTAATTAGTATCATCATGTCTGTGTTTTGAGTCAGTTGATGTCATAAGTCAGCTGATGCTCCTGACTTAATTAACAATCATGAATTAATTAACATCTTGATGACATCATAAATTTCTTGTCGTAGTTTTTAGTCACTAATTATTCATTCTTTTCATTTTTTTGGGTCTCAGTGATTGTGGCCATAGCTTTCCAACCTTTTTATGTATGTTCACAATTGAGCCTTCCCAAACCCGGCGATGCTTAGGCGCTGGGCTTGGAATACATTAGCAGAAACCCTCTAATGTGATGTCCACTACCACAGTGAGAATTGCAAACCAAACAGTGACCATGACTTGTTCCTGATATTTGCATCAGACTTGACCTTCTGAAGAGATTCTTAAAGTGATTTGGATTCTGACTTAGACAAGGTCGTCTAATCCAACCCAGCACGGCAGGATGTGAGATAACCATTGCTGATTCAATGGCCCTCACTGACCTCCTGCATTCAGATGGACACAAGGTGCTTTGAGCAGGTTTAAGTGCCCGTCAAGTGAGGCTAGCTGATAAGGCCGTCATGCTACCATCTGTCACTGACAGACAGCTAGCCTCACTGACCTCACATAGGCCATGTGAGGCAGAGCTAGGCTTGCCAATTCAATCTGTCACTCCACGAGACCAGCAACCCTGGAGATGGGGAGGGGAGAACCACATGCACATTGTGGTTCGTTTCTGTTGTCATTGCTCCAAAACATCACTTGGCAGTTCATCAGATTTGGTGTCTTTGGAGCCACAAAACACCTTTGTTCAAATTCAGTGGTGTTCCCCTTTAAGGTTAACAACCATGCTGCCTTCTAAAAATGGGTACCACGGTTGGTGTTACCATGTGTATACTGTATTCTGGTGGTACAGTTCCACGTTCTGCACTTTGGCAATGCTTCTGTCAGGATTTTATTCATAGCCATAGAGAACTGTAGGCTGAGAGTCAACCATCTCTGGCCTTTTTTTCCCAGCACGTTTTGCCTGCTTGTGGCAACAGTGTAAGTGAGAATCTATTTTTCATGTGGGACTCTAACTGGGGACAGGAGAATTGGATGCATGTTTAAGTGAGAGACAATGAAAAATCATTTTGCCCAAAATCATTCCATCCCCAACTGCCTGC